CTACTGCTCAAAGGCACATGTGGCCTTGGCCCAACAAATCAAGCTGCATGTTCCTATTCTGTATGGTCCCCAAGGCTTTTCAAGCTGTTTACATGCTGTCAGTTCATCTGGTGGTAACTGGGATCAAATATTTTCAGTAGTTATCGGTAAGCTCTGCAAGGTACTTTCTTTGTAAATATGGGAACTAACAATGCTCCTGCCCTTATAAGCCTACCATTTTACTTAATTTTTTTTTTTAAGTGTGTGATCATTGGAATTATTTTGATCATTTTATTTAATTATATTATTTGTATGTATTGTTCTCCCTTAAACTTGTAGCCTGTAATCCATACACATTAAAATAAATAATAAAATACACCTCTACCATGCATTAAGGTACAGAGGAGAGCTAAAATTAGTATTGTACTGTGCAATAAGAATATACAAGAAGCAGGCATTAGGCTCAAAAGCCGATACTGAGAGATTATTAACAGTTTGATAGGCCAAGAACTAAATGTATGAAGAAGAAATCTGCCTACTGGCTGAACTCAATGGAGTTCTCTAGACTAGCCCCTCTTATCATATGTACTCCTGGTATTCGCAGAATATAGATGTCTCTGCCTTCAACTGATGTTAAGGAAGATGGTCTTTCAAATGTCATTAAATAATACAAATTCCTCTTTGGCCTTTTAAATACTGAATGTTTCACATAGCTGTTTCACAACCCTCCCCAATGCTTGCTTGCTCTAATATGCATATGCTTATGTATTATATTTATTTAAGTTGTGATATAAAAAGTCAGCCTGTGAAATCACTTTCACAATCTAAAGCTTCAGTCTGCCATTTTGTGTACATTAGATAAAGACACAAAAATAAAGCACTAAGTTATGCATAGTTAACTAGAAGTACATCTTCACTGAACAAAGAGAGACTTTTTCTGAGAAAACATCCAAAGGATTAGATAGGAAAGAAAGAAAAGTTAAAAACAAATAGCCATTGGAAAGAAGCCAAGAGAGAAACAGGAAAAGTAAAAAGTTATTATAAGTATATATTCCAATATCTAAAAAACACAATCATTGTTTGATTAATATTGAAATTGCTAAGTGTACCAAAACTGTTATAGTGCTAAAGGCTGACTAGCTGGGAAGACTCACAAGGAAGTAAATTGTGAAATTCTCCCACTCTTTTTATGACTATAGACATGTACTTAAATATTTCCCAACTATATGGTTTGTTTGCTAATAATATTGCTAGGAGAAGCAAAATTGCAAAATGCAGTTTGACAACTAGATGGTTGTAATTGTCAGCTAAATGTAATGGTTGTAATTTTCCACTCAAACACTTCAAAGAACAATCAGTATCCCATTTATCTGAGTATTTATATGTATAGTAAGCAAAATCAGCACAAAATGATCTGAAACTAATAATATAAGGAAGACCACTTTTACTTAATTTTGGTTTGCTAGCGTAGCATCAAAATTATTTTGTATGAAAAGTTCTCAAATATTTCTATAACACAAATAATAAACATATATCAGGGGGATAAAATCTTTCTTTCCATTCATTTGGATGTTAAATAAACTGTAACATTTTGTAGAGAAAATGGGGAAGAGAAAGGCTAGATAGCCAATCTTATGGTTTACTAAAGTAATATGTGCCTTGTGGTGGCCATGGAATATTCACATGTTAATTCAAAATCTGGTCATGTGCTTATAGTGAATGGAGTTCTACCACAGATTATAATTTCTTCCAGTGTGATAATGCTCTGCACAGATCAAATGTCTGAATAATGTTGTGGCATGCTTGTATGCCAGCTTACAATAATATGCCAGTTTACAATAACAAATATAGCAGCTTTTTCATCATTAAAACAACCACACAACAGTTGCAAAAGTTGTTACTTCTTTATGAATTCAAAAAAAAGGTATTTTATTTACATTTATTTATTTATTTATTTATTTATTTATTTATTTCAGACTTGTATGCCACCCATCTCCCCCAACGGGTGACATCCTCATATGTTAAGAAGCATCTCTTTTGAATTCTGCACAGCCTAGACTTGTTGTTCGTTATTATTCACATAAGATTAAATAACTGCCTCCATAGGTTAAGGAAACTAAGATAGGTGTTTTGCAGCTAGATTTGATTATATTATGAAATCACGATTTAAAATTTGTATTGTTTATATGTTTGTTATGCTATATCAAAGTAGGGGATAGCTTCTGCCTTTTAGGATCAACCATCAATAGTAAAGGAACAAGCAGTCAAGAAATAGGGCACAGACTAGCACTTGGTAGAGCAGCAATGAAGGCCTTGGAAAAATATTCAAATGCCATGATGTGTCTATACCTACAAAGAGCAGAATTGTGCAAGCCATGGCATTCCCTGTGATACACTATGGAAGTGAAAGTTGGACTTCAGAGAAGCAGGATAAGAAAAGTATTGACACTTTTGAACTTTGGTGTTGGAGAAGACTCCTGAGAATATTGTGGACAGCCAAGAAAACAAACCGATGGATCATTGAATGAATCAACCCTCAGTTCTCACTCGAGGTACAAACAACCAGGCTCAAATTATCCTACTTTGAACACATTATGCAAAGACCCAGCTGTCTAGAAAAGGCTCTAATGCTGGGAAAAGTAGAAGGAAAGAGAAGAAGAAGATGACCAGCAGCAAGGTGGATGTACTCATTTATAGAAACGATGAGTGCACCCTTGGGAGGCATAAAAGAACAGGTTAGGGATAGATCATCTTGGAGAAAATCTACCTATGTGGTCACTAGGAGTTGAAAATGACTTGATGGCACATAATCAGTTCTATTATTATAATATATACTATATCTATTATGCTCAACAAATATTTAGTGAAAAAAGGATTGTTTGATTCATCCATTTTCTCTTTCAAGAAAGTCTTCACTTACTTTAATTGGTATTAATAGAATCGGTTCATGCCCTATTCTTTTTCTATAAGCAGATAGCAGAAGGTATAATCCAGTTGGGTTGGAGGTGAGGGATACCTTTTCTCATAAAAGTATCAACAGATATTCTGAAACATCAAGTAGTCCAGATCCATTATATGCTATGTGAATGTAAGGTATCTAGGGTCTGAACTTTCTTCTGTCATTAAATTAATTTAATTATTTCCAACAACACCTAAGCTCATAGTTTTAATAGTGGAATATCAGCTATAATGATAGTATCAGAATAGACAAGATTACATATGACCTCAAGAAATTTAAAAAAAAGGTGTTTATACCCATCTATTTAAACATATGATTATATTTAAACATACAATGTATAGTGATAAGTTATGACAGAAATTGTTCTAAAAAGAAAGAAAAATGGATCATATTAAGTACATTTCTGCATTAAGGCAGAATGTTATTTTTCCAGTAATGGGAAAAAAGGAACAGAAAAGTGGGATATATGAATCAGAAAATAAATAAATAAATAAATAAATAAATAAATAATAATAATAATAATAATAATAATAATAGTGTTATTTCTTCTATCTTCTTTGAGTAGTGCTCAAAATTGGGGGCACAAGCCTACTATAATCATATTTAAACTGTACTAATTTCAATGAGATAAGTAATTCTACTGTTCAGATCAACAAACTTAAATTCTGGCTAAAATTCTGTTATTGGTTTATTTCAATTTTTTAAAAAATGATATTATTACAAAAGGCAGAGTTGGATTACTAGAAATGATGTTCCAGACAATAAATTATCACTACAATGACAATTTGAAGACAGTTATTAACCACACATTTTAAATTAAAAAAAAAATCATTTTAGCAACATGTAGCTGTTCATTTGTTGAATATAATAATTCTATTTTCTCTATTGTTAAGCAACTTTAAATTAAAACAGAAACGCAAATTTATTGGTTTGTCTAAATGAGCTAACTCTGTTTAGTTATGGGTTTATGGCAGGGTTCCTATTTATGCTATTCGTAGTTTGAAGAATGTTTTCTAACCCAATAATTTCAGAATAGTTTTACAACCTTATAAATTATATCATCTGTATATCTACAGATACATGTGTCTCTCTTGTGTATATACATTAGACACACACACACACAGTGAGAGAGAAAGAGAGACAGAGAAGTATGTCCCTCTAAGTCACACTCTGAAATATGATTTACTCCCTGGTAACTGAACATAAGACTGAAGATTTAAGTTTTGTAAAAAATTAATGGAGTTAAATGCATAATATTATAGAGAAAATAAGTCCTTTATCAGTATTGGGCTAGAAGTTAATTTTTAATTAATCTTTATTTTGTAATGTAATATTTAACAACAAAAAAGAGCGAGAGTTAAAACAACTGTGAGAGTTAAAACAACTTCCAAAAAGATAGATGTGTTTTGTGAAAAAACAAAGAAATATTATGTTCTTAAAATACTGTACAAGCTTATGTGCATCACAGTTCACTTCATCAGATGCATGGAGCATTATCCTACAAAAGTATATAGGCCATTGGGTGAGGATAAGGGGAGGTGAAAGTTATTACCTATAGAATCTGTATTTACAGTATAGATTATGGCCAACAAAAATTTGTTGGTATGACATAAAGGTTCTTGCATTAACCATACATACAACCCTCCAGGCTTGGTTCTGAAAATGATATTCATTTGAATGATAGATTAGTACATTAAATGAAAGACACACACATCTCTGAATTAGGACAATGGTACATTTTCTAGACTTTATCAATCTTTGTGTTTAGCAGAGCAAGTTAAAAATAATTTCTAGCATTGTTTTGTTCTCTTGATATTTGAGAATGAGATAATATATTTGAGGACATTAACATCAAGACACAGTGATGTTTGCCACCCCATTTCATCTGAGCAGCTGTCCTCAAAATCAACATGTGAACCTGTTCATAATCCTAGTGAATAAAGAAAAGTGGGCAAAGCTTTTGAAGCCTATGACCATAAAACTATATAGTCTAGGCTATTTTAAATATATTAGAACTGATTTCCAATCTGACATTCAGCCTTCAAATGCTAACATCTCTTACCTTTGTTTTTTGTGATTTCTCCTTATCTGAAACATTGGAGGGTTTTCTCTTCAACATCTTAAAATACAGATTTATTCAAATATTACAAGGCAAGTGTTGCTTGTTTATTCTCAGACCCCAAGCATACTGAATGATATACACATAGCTCAATCAGCTAAATAAAGCTTCCTTATTCTTTATAGGATGTGGCTTCACTCAGCTCTGTCAGATCTTCAGCTGATATATTCAAGACAGGAAGGAAGACAAAAAGAGAAGTAGAAAAAGAAATGGGTGAAGAAACAGAAGCTTAGGGTACACGTTAACACTAACCTTTCAACTTCAACATTTCAACCTCAACATTTATTTTAGGGTAACTAACAAAAGTTGGCTGCATATGTACAGGTAGCATTTGATGGAAAATGTTACCAGTTAAGGAATCACAAGTGCTGAAGTCCATTTTATAGCTTTATCATTCTTGTACTGCAGCAACCTGCATTATTATATTTTTAAAGCTAAAAACTAATTAGCATGTTATTTTACATATGTGAGTATAAATATAAAATTCTATTTTCAAGATTATAACTAATCTATTTGCATTCCATTTGTATTTATATTTTAGTATCAGTTATTAAGGAGCAACAAGAGAGATTGTTTGCTTCATGCTTGGCTTCCTTGAAATTTTCCCTGTGGAAAATAGGATGACAGAGTATTCTGAACGTTCAGCTTTTCCCACATTTATTTAAATCTTCACGCTAAGCCCTGCACAGAAATGTATATCTATGTGCAAATGTATGCATAGGCCATGTAAAAAGTTAAAATTATTCATTTTTATCTGAAAGGAGATTACTCATAAGCAAATATTTTTCTTACCATGAAGAACAATTAGAAAGCACTAAAAGTTTTTAGGAATATCTCACCATACATTTTAGTCAGATTCTACTATTATTTGTTTGTAGTGTCCTACACTAATAAGGATTGCTTGTGTCTCCACCCATAAAATGCAGAAAATTCATTGGTACCATTATTTACAATATATATCATGTTTGTGAGGCCAATAGTGACTTCAGAAAAAAAAAAAGTAGTTGTACTACACTGTTTTGGTTCTGTTGTGATATCTGTATAGTGCATTAGTCAAGGTACTATCATGCACACACAACTTATACACAAAGAAAAAGTTGAGTATATATAGGTTTATACACACCAACAAGAACTTAAATAAATTGTTAGCCAGATCAAAGAGGACAATTTCTCCATCACCATCACCTCATGTTCTTCCTATACAGATTTAAAAATCTAAACAAAACTTCAATTACATTATTATTAATATTTCATGCCTTCTGCATCCTCTTAAAGCAGCTTACATATACAACAGGAAAGAAATTATAACAAAAAGATTGAAAAGCAATCGTAGAATTTTAGCTATTAGTTAAGATGAACAGAAATGCACATTCAGGCTTCATTCTTTAACCAAGCTTTTCATGAGGTTTTAAGTTGTTTGACGTGTTTAAATCAGAGGTAATAATCTATCCTGTATTGAAATGAGTCACAAATGAAATTCTTAGAAAAGACAAAAACAACTCATTCTCATACATATGATAAGGGCAGCTGAAATGCCTATGTAGAGACCTGACAACAAAATTATAGAGAATAAATGCAAAGAAAACACCACCCACCTAGTATACATTTACAGTATCATACAATTTGAAAATGTGCATTCTGTGTTTTACAGACATTAAGAAGTGCAATTCTAAATGTACATTCCATATTCCAACTACTTTTAAAGGAATATGTAACCATGAGAAGGAATTAAACTACTCTGATCATTCAAACATTACTTCTTTTTCTGTGCACTGTTAACATCTATATGATTAATAAAAACTGAATTCATATGTAGACTTATATATGAGCTCCTTTCACCAGATTATTTATTGTTAAGTAGGAAGAAAGAGGCCATTTCAGGAGATATAGTACCCACCCATATCTATTCTATTTCTTCATGCATCAGAAAAATTATAGCAGTTTGAAGGCTGACCTAATTATCTCTTTGTCCTTGAAAGATTGACCTCTGCACTAGTTGTAGAAAATGCCAGAGTTAAAGACCAACACCGGTAATATCACAAATAAATAATTAACTTAATCAGGAATTCTCAATGAATTCTAATGGTTCAGAAGCTAATATATTCTTATATTTTTAATTTTCAAATGGTATTTAATAAGAAGAATGGAATGCAAAATATTTATCGGAAGGCGGAGCAGGAGAATTGGAAACTTATGTAATACTATGGATTCGCTCAAAGAATTATAAATGTCACCAATATACACAGATTACTTTTTTAATTCTCTCTCCTCATATTCATATGCACATATATGTATAAAAATTGTCTGCCTTAGTTTTTTTTTTTAAAAAAAGCTCCTTACATTTCTGTACTGAAAATAGCATTAAATCCTCACACAGAGTGTCACCTTTGATAAGGCTACATGCAAGCTTTTCCTTGAATACTGTTGCATACACGTGGTAAACAGAGTCACTGGTATTAAAAACCTCAAATATTAGCTCAATGTGGATACCCACATTAAAATAACTTCCTTTGACTTTCTCTAGTGCATTAAGTAATACATTGGAAAATGACTGAGAGATAATTGCCACTAGAGCTTTTTGGCTATTCATAGGTTCCAAACATATCATAGACCTTCCTAAACTACCTCCAAATGTGGTATCAGTGGTTTTCAGACATATGATCTATGGCTACTGTAAGTAAATAAACCAGAATGGCTTACCAGCAGTGTTAATTAGCCAAGTACTTTTCAACTGCTGGCTTAAAATAGTAGTAATGGTGAAAATTTCATGGAGAAAAATTAAACAAATGCAATCTTTAGATTCCTGAAAAGATGTCACAGCATCAGTTTTTGCACTTACTATATATATTGTTCTTCTTCCTCCTCCTGGGTCTCTAGCACCTGATTCCTTATAACCTTTGAGCCCATGACAAGTTGAATTCTTGATTTATTTTGGATGCCAGTATTGCTTCCAATTATCTGCATGCCACAATTATCTGCAGCATAGACTGGCTCTAGGATCCTAATTACCATAGTTTTTCTGAGCAATGATAACTGTATTCCTCAAACTGTTCAGCCAGTGACATTTGACAGTTACTGGTTTGATTCATCTCACAACAGCAGAACTGAACTTCAGCATTGTCAGTGGCTGATGAAAACAGCTGCAATGGAACCAAATAAACAGGTCCATAAGTTTATACTTATCTCTCTTTCAGAAAGGGTCTTGTACTAAATATTTGAAAAAAAAAGAAAAGAAAAAGCTAAATTAAACATGCACTAGACCTCCTCCAATGTTACACAAATGTGTTTTCTGTCAGTCAGCAACTAGTTTAATTGGACAAATGCAATCGCTGGTGCAGTCCTTGAGGACTCACTTCTGCTGATTTTTCAGCTTTACTGTTAAACAAGTTTGTAAAAAAAAAAAGTGCTTGATGAGTCAGCTGCAGCTATTCTCACCACCATAATTTGCTGTACCCTCACTGTTGCTGGGCCGCAAGACCAAAACAGATGTCAGTCCAGATATACTGGAAGCAAGGAAGATAACAGCAGTGGCAGGAGCTGTCATGCTCCTTACTGCTTTTTACAATATGGCAGTGAGGATGCTGATTGAGCTAGGGTTTTTTTCAGGACTGTCACTTATCTACTTGCTACATACCATGACTGCTACTCATCTTCTCTACTGACTGCTATCTTCTGTCCAGATGTAGTCTTCAGAGGTTTGAGGGGAGGTGCCCTTCATTGCTATGGAAGGTACTGAAGAAGCCCTGCCCACAATTCTCTAAAAGTTTGGTGGTACATCTGGAAATCAGAGCACTACCATATCTTAAATCTCAGCAAAATATTTTAAATATATGTACAACATCTACTGAAGGTTTATCATTTTGTAAACAGAACCTGGATTTTTTCTACCACTGACTTTTAAAAAGACTACATGATTTTGATGATGTATAATTATATATAAGATGGTGAACAATAACTTTATAAAACTGAAAACAAAGATTTTTCCTTGAGTAGCCAAGATAATGGAGTCCTTCCAACTTTATAAATGAACTATGTAAAGCACCCATAGGGTAAGGCATGATAAATTTTGTTGATTTAAGAAAGTGTTTGATGGACAAGGTATTTGAGCCATGAATGTGGCATTACGCATGTTCACATCTCAGAACAGAATTGAGATCAACAAACATGTTTTCGGATTAATAGGGAAACTATGTCTGTTGTCAGCAATCTCTCTTTCTCCAGAGCCATTTTCTACCAGTAAACAGTTCAAGCTGAATTAGTTTCTTAATATCAGAGTATCACAGTGTTGAATTGTTATAACATTAAAACTTGTCTGTGATAAACTGAGGTTCAGCTGATCTTTCACACACAAAGTCATATATGTATTATATATGAGAATATTACATTTTAGCGGTAATAAAACAATTTTGTTTGTTCTTCCTTCCACCTGCTTCCCCCAACAGCTGTTGTTGTTATTAAGTCCCAAATGTTCTATAATCTAATATTTCTGACCCACAAGAAATTAAATGCTGCCAGGAATAAGATTATCTTGAAATAACTCCCCCTAGAAGTGAGATCAGCTCTATCCCTCTTAACATTCCACAAGTCCCTCAGGACCTGGCTAGGTGATCAGGCCTGGGGGTCCTAGGGGACTGGGGAGATTTTGCAATGGCTCCCTTATTAATTCTATCCCCTCCTGTTTTGTGTGTGCTTTTATAGATTTTTATTTGTAATTGTTTTTTATGTATTTATAAATGTTATGTATTTAATTGTTGTATGCTGCCCAGAGTCACTTTGTGTGCGATGGGTGGCTATATAAATATAACAAACAAATAAATAAATAAAACTCTAAAGTAGACTTAACGTACTTTAAAAAGACAAAGAAATATCCCTCATAAACAGCTCCCAATAAAATCCTGGCCCTGTCTACCAGCTCTCTCCTATGTACATTTTAAAAAAGCATAAAGGGTGGCCTCTGGCCATCAAAACATTGTTCACAACTAAATAAAATTAACAAATGCCCTTTGGAATGAGATTCTACCAAGATTAGATGGCCCCCCAGTCTGCTATTG